GATGGGGGACAACAAGTATGCCCACTCCCGCCCGGCGCCTCTCACCGCAGGCAACTCCAGAGTGGAAGTGTGTCCAGCCCCTCTCAAGGAGAGACATTAGCCAGAGAACCAGAGCCATGCGTCGAGGTGAGGCCGACTATTTCTAGCCGAAACCTCTCAGCCTCGCACACTAGCTCCGGCTCCTTCCCCATCAGAGAAGTGACGTTCCACGTCCCAAGAGCCAGCTTCTGTAGCCGAGGATCAGACCGCCAGGGTCCCCTGCAGTAACCATAATAATGGAATTAATAATTTTTTAAAGGGCAATATTATGCGCTATTCAGGCATAAATTTACATACTGTACCATAATAAAGTATCTATGTCACCTTTAGTTGTTATTAAAATGCTGTTTTTATGTTTAAATTTAAAATAAAACTATCTTCTCATCACTTCCTCTTCTAAACGCTTTGAAATTGTCCTCCTTCTCTTTAAGAACCACCTTCCGCTTCTGTCCCATTTATTTCAGTGCGGGGGGGGGGGTGTTTACGCGTGTGCTATGATGCAGTTTATTTGGCATCTGAAAATACATTTCTTCAAAGGTATTTTGAATCTGAAAAGAGCTTCACTGAGGGAGAAAAAGTGTTAAGAGAAGCAGACTAAGTTTAAACTTTCACTTTCACTGTTTGTTTCTTACTGCCAAGAGCCTGCAGGGGTCATGAGCGGGGTGTGTGGGGTGGGGGGTGGGGAGGTGTGCTCCATGATGAGGAAGCTCGGCTTAAAGACACAACCCAGGGGCATTTCTTGTCCTAAAAGGCGTTCCTGGTCCCCACCTGTCGTTTTGCTCCTCAGCATGGCTGCCTAAAAACACTGCAGAATTTCTCAAACCTTCATGAATGAGTCAAAGCAAGGCTTTGGGCATGTTTTTTTACGAGAGTATAACATTATAGCATGATATAAAACTCAAAAAAGTTGATTTTACATGATATTGCCGCTTTAACTATTTGCTATTCTGTTTTAATGTAAATAATAATCTTTGTAAATTATTTGCAAATGACTGAAACAGTACATTTTATTAAACATTTAAAACAACTTCTCAAGTGTTACTCCCCTTTCAGAATGGATGAGTTATATTTTTCTTTTAAAGAAAATGTGTAAATTGCTTTACTGTCAACTCAGTTCATTGGAACCAATTGACAGAACTTGGTTCAGTAAATTAAAAACCTTATACTTTAGAGTGCATAATTTTTTTTTACGTTTTGAATGTAACAAAAAAAAGTATGTATTTTTTGCTTTAAAAATTTGGTAAAATTTCAACCTCTGCTTGTTTGTCTCTCTGACTTTTCTCTTTCTACCTTTCTTACTGCAGCTAAAGCCAGCAGAGCGTGAGGATTCTGTTTTCTTTTCTTGTCATGCCATCAACTCTTACGGAGAAGGACGAGGCCTTATCCAGCTCACTGTGCAAGGTAGCCATTTGTATCAAAATGCATCTACCTCAGAAACATTGCTTTAAGTTGAGAACTATAACCCAAAAACATGTTTGTCTTCAGTTTAATTTTTAAAGGAGACATCATGCTTTTATAAATTTGTTTTTACATTTAAGTCGTTCACTTGAGGTCTATGTAAAGTGGAACTGCAATGCTTTGGTTTGAATTCCTCCTTAGTGTAACTCACAAGCCCCTTTCTCCCTTTTTATGTTTTCGTTTTTCTGATTTTTCCATTACAAGTTGTGTCTCAGATCAACTCATTTTGATGCTGTCTCTTTAAATTCAAATGAGATGCTTTGCACCTCGCACCCCTCCATCTTCCAGAGTGGTCCACTGTAGCTCGATAGAAGAGTTTACAACTATGTAGCAGCGCAGAAATTCTTTGTTTATGAATGAATTAAAAGATGCCAACATGGGACAACTTGCCCTCCTTACATGTTGGAGCCAGAGGAGATTGAAGAGGAAGAAATTGTACTTAGTAAGTCCAGACCTTATTTAGAAGTTCTGTTGCAAACTCTGTGATCTAACAGTTCAGAAAACAAGATAAACTGAACGGGTTTAAAAAAAAATGACCCAAACAGAATATAAAGATATCTACACAGCACCAGGAGAGACTAAATTCAACTTTTCTGCACTCCTAGAGACTCCAAGTACACAAGACAATATATTTAATGCCTATAAAAGTGATTTTTGCATGATACGTTCCCTTTGTGGTATTCATTTTTTTGTGATATGTTTCCCCTTGCCTCCCTTTTGTTTAATGTGTCCTTTGAATCCTCAGAACCTCCAGACCCTCCAGAGCTGGAGGTCCGAGAAGTGAAAGATCGCAGTATGAATCTCAGGTGGACGCAGAGATTTGATGGGAACAGTGTCATCACCTCCTACGATATTGAATATAAAAACAAGACAGGTACATTTTGCCAGGCTGCAGGTACCACCTTGCTGACGTTTCTACTGAGCATTGTAAAACATAAAACTGTCTCACCTTTTTTTTCCTTTTGAAATGGACGAAACAAACGACGGATGCAACGTCAGTTATTCTCCTCTGTCTTGCCAGATTCATGGGAGCTGAAGCACGCCACGCGAAACATCTCCCCCACAAACAATCAGGCCAACATTGTGGACCTTCACCCTGCCTCTGTCTACAGCATACGGATGTTTTCCTACAATGCAATAGGCAAGAGTGAGGCCAGTAAGGAGCTCACCATCAGTACAGAGGAAGCACGTGAGTTTTCTTGAAAAGATTGAGTTTAGCTGACTGTGTCTTTGGAAATGTGATTTGATTTCTCTTTGGATTTAACAATTAAAAACTTTTATTATACTATAATAATTAGGAAAAAAATATATTTACAAAAACAAAATTTTGGGATATTAGTGAGCCGTCTGTCTTTTTGTCTCTCCCTCTGTAGAGCCTGATGGTCCACCGATGGATGTGACCCTTCAGGCAGTGACCTCTCAAAGTATCAGAGTAACTTGGAAGGTGCATTATTTTCACCACTTACCTGAGATTCTAAAGAATATGTACTAATTTGTTAAGTAGTCTTTTAATTTCTTACTTTGTCACACAAATATATGACTTGTTTATGGGAGAGCAGAGTTAGCAAAAGGTGAAAAGAGGCAGTAAAAAGCAGGAAACACATCATGAAGAAATAAATATACTATTTCATAAATGGTTAACATTTGGCAACTTTTTAAAAATCTAAACTTGTAATAAATGAACAAAATTCATGTTGGGATTGTAAATTTAGTTCAGAATTTTCAAACAATACATTACACTAATTAATTGTTTTGAAGTGAAGTTTAAACTTTATGTCCTGACGCATCTCAGTAATCCAGGTAGAAAAAAAATCAAAAAGAAAAAATAAGTAGGTCCTCTGGATGGGTTCTTCTTCAGTGAAATGTTTCATCTCTCCTCCAAAAGACTTCTTCAGTCTGATGAGTTTCAGGTGAACTCAGCCTTATAAGCACTGCCTCCACATGGACAAACAGGTTAGTCGCATGCAAAAGAGGGCCATCGCCTAAGAATAGGCTTGATTAGCTCTATTGTTCGTAGAGGGTCATGTGCCTCATCACCTGACTTACTGGTTTGGAATGTTTCGGCTGTGGTTATTTGGTGTTTTATTTGTATGTAGTGAGTGCAAGCGGGGTTCAATGTCTCCTTGTTTTTGTCCCTCTCTCCCTCTTTGTGTTGGTATCATTGGGGCCCTGATTCATACTTTTTGCTCACCGGGGGCTGAGTCATACTTGCAATAGCAGCATTGTTGGAGGAGGGCAACTGGACACAAAGGCCTCCACCTCTGTTTAATGCTGGATGGTTTTTCTTCACAAAAATGGCTTCCTTTACTCCTCTGTCAAACCAGCGTTCCTCTCTATCAAAGATGAGAACATCTTCATCCCTGAAAGACTAACCGCTGGCCTGTAGATGAATGTAAACTGCAGAGTCCTGACCCGACAACGTAGCTCATCTGTGTTGGCTCATTCTTTTGAACATTGGCTGTTTTGTTTCCCCAATGTATGACTGATCACAGTCCTCCTGACACTTAACAGCATATACTAAATGGGGCACATGACCCTCTATGAACAAAAGAGCTAATAAAGCCTATTTGTTGGGTGATGGTCCTCTTTTGCATGTGACTAACCTGTTTGTCCATGTGGAGGCAGTGCTTATAAGGCTGAGTTCACCTGCAACTCATCAGACTGAAGAAGTGTCTTGGAGGAGAGATGAAACTTTTCAGTAAAGAAGAACCCATCCAGAGGACCTACTTATTTTTTCTTTTTTATTAAACTTTATGAAAGAGTTGAGCTCACACAAGGCTGATTGTGTCAAACAACGTTGCCCGGTTACTTTATGTAACTTATCTTTTTTCTGATGCTGTGATCTACCAGGCTCCAAGGAAAGAGCTTCAGAATGGGGTGATCCGGGGGTACCAGATTGGTTACAGAGAGAACGGCCCTGGGAGTAATGGCCAGTACAGCATCGTTGAGATGAAAGCCACTGGAGACAGTGAGGTCTACACTCTTGACAACCTGAAGAAGTTTGCTCAATATGGCGTGGTTGTCCAGGCCTTCAACAGAGCAGGCACAGGACCTTCAAGCTCCGAGATCAATGCTACAACATTGGAAGATGGTGAGGATTGTAATAKATAACTCACAAAACACTTATTGGCTTTATTGGTCTGTTTATAGTTAAAACATGGTGTCTTAGTGATCAGCAGTTATGATAGAAAATGATAAAGAAACATCACAAGCAGTGGAAGTCTAAATTTTCATTCTTTTACATCACTCTTTGTCCACTTTTTAAATCTTTTGTATTTTTTATCTCATCCACATTTAATACAGTACTCTTGTTCTCTTCAATGTCCTTTTTATTTCCTCACTATCCGTTCTCTGTTAAATCATGGCATGATTCGTAACTTAAAATTACTGCATTCATTTTGTTCTATGAACATTAATGAGTGAATGCTGCTAAAATTCAAATGTTTCTTTTATACAAAGGGCACAGAAAGTCCCATAGACACAGGGCAGTGTGGAAAATAGAGTTATCTCAGTAGATAGGTGTGAACTTGCTGCTGTAACACCTATCTGGGGCATAAATTTAATTTTGTTYAGTGAGTGAATGAATAAACGAACGAACGGATGCACGGACGGATGAATAAACAAGTGAACGAAGCCCAAAAGCGACACAGTTTGACACAACATTTGAACAACTTTAAACTGCATCAACATGCCAGCGTGCATTAAAGAAAAGGCAGTTATTAGATGTCTGTGCCTCTTTTTCATAAGGCGACCTTTTCAACAAAGCATTCATTGAGTTTGAAGAATTATTTTCCTCAAAAATGCATTTTTTTTAAAAAAAACATACACCTTACTGTAATTTAGCACTGAACATTTTTTTTTCTTACTAATGTAAAATAAAATCTGAGAATTCCTTTCGACTAAATTGCTGCAAGTTTAGTGAATGTACGGAGATGATCACTTTTAGTCATATTGGGCAATAAACAGAGATTTTGACATTTCTTAACGATAAGTGATTCAAATGACGATAGATGGGGTGGGTAGCTGTGTAAATGGATTCATAGGTAAATGGATGGATGATGGATGGATGGATGGATGGATGGATGGAAGGATGGATGGATGGATGGATGGATGGATGGATGGATGG